AAAAGGGTCCTTAATTACTTTTTATCTGATGATCGGATTTTCACTTTCTAGGACCCAGGCTTAATGGTTCTTCTTATCTTCGTCGTGGGATCATTCATCACAAATGAATGTTACGATTGAACAAATGTCGTTTCAACTTTGTGCTTTTATAAATACCAGACGTTTTCTTCAATTTTAAAGTTTTTTAAAAAAAATATATGATTGAATTAAAAGAGACTATTTTTTATCCTACAAGTTATGAGCTGGAGCTTATGTACAGTACAAGAAAAGAAAAACGGCGCTTAATAACTTTTGATCTGATGAGCGGATTTTCACTTTTTAGGACTTAGGCTTAATGGGTCGTGGGGGTGACCTAAAATATATAAATAAAAAATATATCTAATATTCAAAATTCGATTTATTAGGAGCTAATCTACCAATTTCGTTCAAATTTTGTATTTTACTTCACTATCTAAACTATTATTATTTAAAATCATGTAAAAATTTGTACACTTGCAATTCAAAATTTTCAATTGTTTTTTAAAAAAATAATAAATAATTAAAAATTATATTTTGGAATTATTTTTGGATAAACAAAATTTATAATTTTGTGCAAAAAAAAAAATTATTTTAAATTTTGAAGATCAGAAATCAGTCCAAAAAAAAAGAATTAATTTAAAAAAAGTACGTTTTTCCGTCTGATATCGTAAGTTAATACAGTCTTAACTAATTAATTATCATGTTTGAAGTTCCCTGCCCCGTGAACTAGTACGTTTCAGTCCTAGTAAGTGAAGTAATTCAAGTTCTAGTAAGTGTTACGCTTTTTTGCATTATACTATAATTGCATTTTAAAAGATTTCATGTAAATTATTTAATACCCCGAATTTATGATAGCTCACATTTTTCTTTTTCATATTTTAAGACATTAATACAATTTAATTTATATAATTGCAGTTCATTTCTTTCAGAAAAATTTCATTTTAGTAAAAACGTTTAAATTATAATGCGGCAAGATATTAATATCCGAAAGTAAACTTTCAAAAATCTAACTGCCAAAATAACTAAGTAAAAAGCCAGAAGAAGTAAGCCAGACATGTTTTTAATTTTGCCAGAGCTTACAAATATTGGGTTTAAAAAAAGTGTTATCTACTATTCCCTACTACTCGCAACCGAGTTTTTAAAAAATGCAGACAATATATACAGCATAACCATAATATCTATGCAGACCATAATGTACAGCATAAATAATCTAAAAGCTTAAATAAATAAAAAAAATTAAAATACGCATAAAATTTCAAAAATCTATTCTAAAAACTTAATTATTTAGAATAGAAGCAATGTTTTTTAAAATATCAGAGCAATTGTCACTTTAGAAATTATTGACTTAGCTGAAGTGCCGATTCCGTGGCACTTTTTTCAAAAAGATACACTTTTTCCGTTACTGCCAAGTTTTGCACAAACGCAACATGAGCTGGGGAACCCTTTTTTTGTTCGCATATTTTATTTATTTGCAAAAAAAATGCAACTATGCAAATTTGTGTGCTTTGATTCTTTACGAAATTAAGTTTCATTTTAACCCATTTGTGCCTAGGGTTCTTTTAACCGTTTACTTGCTGAGATGCCAACTTGCTCCCCTTTGTAAAAAAAATATTATCTAGCTGTTACGAAATTTAAGTTTAGTATTTTTCGTCTTAAGTAATTTTTCCACCACTACATATCGAAAATTCATAGTATGATATGAAATGCAACTTTTAAAAAGGCCAAACCCAGACTACGCCCGTGTTGGCGCCAATTAATTCTTAACTGTTTATCTCATTTATATGCAAAACGCCTGCACGCCCCCTGACCCCCTTTCCTCCCTTATTGTTTTCTCACTATTCGATGAAAGTGTAGATAGCCCTGCGGGCTAGGAGCACTGAAATTTAAATTTTAAATCGGTAAATCGGTAAAAAAGGCCATTTATTTTATAGTTACCCCAAAGTTGCTAAATTCAATGTTTTTACCTCAATGTAGTTAATTTCATGATGTGTGGGATAAGGGCAGCTGCGAGGCCCAGGTGCCCAATTTTTCTAAATAAAGCAAGCAAGCTAAGTCATTTCGTGGTGATATTTTTAAAAAAAATAGGCGTAATTCTAAAAGGTATACTATTTTATTCGCTACCAGTTTCTCGTGACTTTTGAAAATATCAGAGCATTTGGCATCCCTGTACTTGTTGTTTACCAGCAATGGGAAAAGTGTCTTTAATAAGTTCACGCCGGGGTGACCCACCGGTGGGTCACGCTAGATTGTGTCATCAGGTGGCGCACCGAAGTAAAAACTGGTAACAAATAAATTTCATTTTTTAGTTTTTTCCCGGGAATAATAAAAATTCATAACTACCAATTGTTTTTAACGGATACAATTTTTAGATTGAATTGCTTCGCCGTGATAAATTTCCTTATAGTGAATTGTTATTGTTGAGAATAGATTTAACTCCTCCCGAATATTATCTAATATGGAAATAGTTCTTCTACCAGTATTTTCTCTTTTTCGTCCCGCTTTCAGGCGCAACACACGGCGTTAACGTGTTAAAAAATGTGGTAGGAGGTTTGTGCATACATTAAATGGAAATTTTGTACTAATTTGATTAAATAACATAATAATTACTCTATTTCAGAAAAAATTATTTTATTAATATATTTCAGTTCGACACATATGTTCAACTATTGCAAGATTTGAGTCACCAGTCTTTTACAGTTCAAAAAAGAAAAACATATTTTTAAAGAAANCGCGCCAATTTTGAAATAAACTAGTGGGATGTATGCCTTATGAGGAATAATTTTAGGGGGCAACATTCGTTTCGGCCCATAGAAGGTCTTGTGAGAGATAAAAAATAATTCAATATATGGAAAAATCAGTATTTTATTACTTCAATGCAGACTATTAGTTATTGTAATTGTCTCATACTCCAATTACTTTGTAATTAATTGGATAATTAATTGCTTTCACGTACTATATAATGCATATTTATTGTTAAAATTGATTTTGAAAATTTTATGTATCTGTAGTTTTTCAAAAAAACCTGTTAGGTTAATTTGAAAAAAAAAATTGACATCAAATTTTTTTACTTTTTTTTTTTCAAAAAACTTTCCAAATTAATTGGAGTATGTAATTGCAAATCAATTAATTAATTAATAATTTCTGATTAATTTATTAATTAAAAAATTAATTAATTATCCAATTAATTACAAATTAATTGGATTATGAGACAATTACAATAACTAATAGTCTGCATTGAACTAATAAAATACCGATTTTTCCATATATTGAATTATTTTTTATCTCTCACAAGACCTTCTATGGGCCGAAACGAATGTTGCCCCCTAAAATTATTCCTCATAAGGCATACATCCCACTAGTTTATTTCAAAATTGGCGAGTCACACTTCCCTAGTTTCCCTTGTAAGTAAAAAGCCAGTAGAAGTAAGAAGTAAGCCAGACATGTTTTTAATTTTGCCAGAGCTTACGAATATTGGGTTTAAAAAAAGTGTTATCTACTATTCCCTACTACTTGCAACCGAGATTTTAAAAAATACAGACCTCTAATAAAGAGTATATTTTTCTAAACTATGCAGCCCATAATATACTGCATAAATAATCCAAAAGCTTAAATAAATAAAATAAATTAAAATGCTCATAAAATTTTAAAAATCTATTCTAAAAACTTGATTATTTAGAATGCAAGCAATGTTTTTTTAAATATCAAAGCAATTGTCACTTTAGAAATTATTGACTTAGCTGAAGTGCCGATTCCGAGCCACTTTTTTCAAAAAGATACACTTTTTGCGTTACTGCCAAGTTTTGCACAAACGCAACATCAGCTGGGGAACCCTTTTTTTGTTCGCATATTTTATTTATTTGCAAAAAAATGCAACTATGCAAATTTCTGTGCTTTGATTCTTTACGAAATTAAGCTTCAACTTAACCCATTTGTGCCTTGGGTTCTTTTAACCGTTTACTTGCTGAGATGCCAACTTGCTCCCCTTTGTAAAAAAAATATTTTCTTGCGGTTACGAAATTTAAGTTTAGTATTTTTCATCTTAAGTAATTTTTCTACCACTACATATCGAAAATTCAAAGTGTGATATGAAATGCAACTTTTATAAATTTACTCAATTCGCGGTGATACTTTTAAAAAATAGGCGTAATTATCCTAATTCTAAAAGTTCTATTTTATTCGCCGCCAATTTCTCGTGACTTTTGAAAATATCAGAGCATTTGGCATCCCTGTACTTGTTGTTAACCAGCAATGGGAAAAGTGTCTTTAAAAAATGTGGTGGGAGCTTTGTGCATACATTAAATGGAAATTTTGTACTAATTTGATTAAATAACATAATAATTGCTCTATTTCAGAAAAAATTATTGTATTAATATATTTCAGTTGACACATATGTTCAACTATTCCAATCGATAAGGCTAAGAATGAAAGATTTGAGTCACCAGTCTTTTACAGTTCGAAATAGAAACATATTTTTAAAGAAGACAATGGTTCTTAAAAGCTTAATTCTTTTTATATATCTTTTTCACTTAAAAAAAAAGGTGGTAACAAAAATGTTTCGCTATTCTGATTTTTTTTCCGAACACATGCTAGTCCTGTCTACCATAATTATCCTTGCAAAAAATTAGCAGACCTATATTAGGATATTACTACTTTTCATGATTTTCAAATTTAAATCAGAAAGTTTTATGGAAATTCCTATTTTTTTTTTCCTTTTCCCTTTAAAATAAACCATAAACTACACACGGAAAACAAAACAAAAAAGGAGTTAGCTTCATTTGCTAAAAGAATACTTTTATTCTAGCTTAAAACAAGAATTTTTCCAACAACTTCTTGGAATTCCTTGAGAGTGCCCACTAACTCGAGATTGAATTTTAAATTTTCCTTTAAAGCAGATACAGAAAGTAATAGGAGATGCAACTCAGAAATCTGAAGAGAAAGGTTGTAAAGTTTGTGTCACGTAGATATCTTGTTTCTATTTTTAGGAAAAAGTCGATCTTGGAGAAGTGATGCTGTCTCTGTGCTACTTACCGACCGCTGGTCGTTTGACTGTGACTATCATTAAAGCTAGGAATCTTAAAGTCATGGATATCACGGGATCGTCAGGTAAACAATCCATATAACTCAAAAATTGTTAATGATATTTTTAGCAAATGAGTTTTTAAACTTTTCTCAATCTGGAATTTGTTATCTTTGATTCGATTTTTTAATGGAATAAGCAGTCTATAAAACAGAAATGTTAGGCGAGATGATAAATTTCGGTAATAAAAAACTCGCCAGAAAATGTATACTACACCTGAGAAAAAATGGAATGTGTTGATAAATTTTTCGCAAGACTACAACAAATTTTGCAAATTTAACACTTTTAATGTCTTCTATTACTAAGCAAAATAATGAAAAGCCATGTTTTTCAAACTGCTTAAGAATAAAATTTGTAAAGTTTAAAGAAGTTTGATGTTCAAAAATTGCTCACCAACAATTGTACAAAATTTCTTTAATAAAACAAAAATGTGTTGAACGATAATGTACTATAATTTACATTTAAATACTCACATACGTGAATATTTATCGATCAATAAAAAACCATATTTATGTCCATTTCAAGTAAGTACGCCTGAATTAATTATTTAAAACATTTTCAATTTAAAACAGTGTGGTAGATTGAAGCACATGAAACAGGAGATTTTCACTTCAAAAAATATTTTTTGTAAAGCAATCCTACCTTGCTCCCTCGTTTAAAAAAATAAACAAAAAGTGCTCCAAGTCAAGTTTGCAGGTAGCAAGAATCCCCGGCCGCATATAAACACTGCTCGAACAACTTTTGTTGGTTTTGCCNAGCGTTCGATGACGTATACTATCCAACTCACAAATGGACCAATCAGAGGTTAGCGCTGATTTCCAGCTGACGGCGTCCTGTCCGCATATAAACACTGTTTACACACATAGTATCCCCAAGAAATTTTGAGCGCGCTGATTGGCTTTCTCGGCAACGCCATCTGTGACGTATGGCTATTTCATTCTGCCATGCTTGTTATTTTCAGCATAGAGCGTTTTCTATACTCCAGCTTTTGTATACAAACTTGAAATGTCAGTTTTTTCAACAGAGAAACTGCCCTCTTCATTTAAAAATGAAGTAGAAAATATTTAATCAAATACCATTACCCTTAGAAGCAATGTTCTAAATTTAGACGATTGCAACAAGTGGGTAATGGAATTTGGGGAACTTACCAAAACGAAATGGAATTCTAGAACTTCCAAACCTCATGGACAAAGATTTGTTTGTAGGTTAGTAACTAGTTTAGATATTTTAAGAAAAATTTTGTATTTAATTTTTATGGGAAATGCTATTTTTGTTAAATTTATGATTATTAGATGCATGAATTCTTATGAAGCTAATATCCCTCTAATTTATTGAATAACATTGAAATTGGAGTTTAATTGCCTTGCTTAATTCTTATACTCACTGTAAAATGAAAATTGAATCGTTTTCCCTTGATATTTATTTAATTAAATTAATGTTCATCGAATTAAATTAATATTTAATTTTTTTCTTGTGGATTATTAAAATTACATCATAAAATTTTAAAATCTAAAATTTATTAGTGGCGCCATCTATTATTATAAATTAAAACTAAAAGATCTGCATTATGTCTACCTATTTAAAACTTATTTTTAATGTTTTTTCTTTACTTGTTAAATGTTTTATAATACCGAAAAANATTCATCTGAGTGGAAATAAATAATAAATCGCCGAAGCGCAACTGAGAGGTGAAAGTTGGGGTTCAGTATCTTTTACTGAGAGAAAATTAAAATGCAGTAGTGAGATTGAACAAACAAGTTTGAGAGAGAGAGAAGAGGTTTTGTGGCAGACTGCCTCGCCTCCCTTCGAGGTATTACCCCGAGCTTCACAGGTGCACAGTAGCCACATAGCCCCAGGGAAAAGGGGAAATACATAATAAATGCGCAAAATTATTTACAAGTATTTACAGCTATTTACAAAATTTACGGGACAAAACTCCGTCGGATAGGAAAAAGGCGGTTGCCGGGCTATATTTTATGTTGTCTTTGATGAGCTCAAAATCAAAATTTTTGAAGTAATTGCACGTATGACAAGAGAGTGCATCTCTGAAGAAACTTGCACATAGTTCAGCTATGTGCTCATCTATTTTGTTGATTTTTAACTCTCGAATTCGAGTAAGTATGCATGAATTAATTATTTAAAATATTTTTAATTTAAAACAGTCTGGTAGATTGAAGCACATGAAACAGGAGATTTTCACTTCAAAAAATATTTTTTGTAAAGCAATCCTACCTTGCTCTCTCGTTTAAAAAAATAAACAAAAAGTGCTCCAAGTCAAGTTTGCAGGTAGCAAGAATCCCCGGTCGTGGCGCTGTTGAATTAGATTATGTGACTGAACAAACTGAGTACGCAAAACTGTATCAGTTAATTTTTGGAGAGGCTTTCCATAATTTCGTTTACGATTTTTCAGTGTAATATTAGCTGGTTGACCAACCTTGAGAAACTAGTCTTAGTTGTAGTCTTGATAAATTTTCTGAATGTAGAAAATAGCTTTCTAGAACTTAATGCAAAAAAAGATTGTTATTGCAAGAATATGATAAGACAGAAATTAATTATATTGTTAACTTAACAAGTTTAAGAAAAAGATTCATCATGTGGTAAATCCGCGTCCTGAAATGCATCCTCCACTAGTCATCAAAGTTATCAAGTAACCCTATAATCAGACAATTTGCATTTGCAGCCTAATTGTATTTGGCTATCATGTTTTTGATGAAAGATACTGTGATTTAGTAGTAGTAAACAATGAAATATTTCTGTATATTTTTTTGCTATCTTGTGAAACTTCTGAAATACCTAAATTAAAATAATGCGAAGGAATAGTTTTATGTCAAAAATTTTCCTTTTGGAAAAGGTGTGACTTATCACTATATTACTCCAATGATTAGTGTCAAAAATCGTTTTTCAAATTTTGATAGCTTTTTCTTTGAATTTCCAGTAATTTTTTATCCTTCGTAAGAGAACCATTGGTGAGAGGATGATTAGAAATGGTCGTTGCAAACAAATATTTCAGTTTTTTCTGGATCGTACGAGCTTTGGTACGAATAGCATATAATATAATATATTTGAAGTTACTGAAAGAATATGTCACTTATGTGTTCATTAACCTTTCATTTCCAAAATTTATCGCCTTAACTATGTCTTTTTTTTATGAATCTTACGTTATAATTGTATTCTGTTTATAATTTAATTAATTTTTGTTTTTATAAAACCAATTAAAAATTAATTAAATTCTAAAACCAATTAAGAGAGTTTTGAAATATAGTGGTGGCTGAAATTTTATTTGCATTAAATATGAATTCCTCCACGTTTCAATTTTTTATTTGGCGTTACGATCATTGCAGCTGGGCTAAAAATTTTAATTATTTTTATAAAAGTTTTAATTACCCACAGTGGCAATAGCTAATATCAATCAAAATAATCTGATAATATATATATATATTCTTAAATAAATGCATTGTATACTTGAACAATTCAGTATGAAATTAAACTCGTTGAAAATATTTTTATTAAATTCAAGAAACAATGAATAAATGTATTCTAAAACTCCAGAGCTCTAGAAGCATTTTTATTTGAAATCAAGATAAAAGATATTAAATTTTCTTTAAATCCCCTATTTTATTTTTCCTCTTTAACAAAGTTAGGGATTTTATTTTGCAACATAAGAGCAATAATAACAATGTGCCGCTTCAAAATCGGTCTAAGTAAAAACCCACAGTGGCATAACAAATAAATTTTGACTGCGATACAGCTAAAAATAGATACTTTTTTGTCCTGCTCTCGAGTTCTATCAAATAAGCATCCTGTTTCGAAGATTTTCATTTTATTTTCCTCCCCACCATTCAATTTTTCGTTTCGACAATTGAAGCAAGCATTTATAGAAAACGTAAAGCAGCAGCTCTATTTATTCCTTTAAGCGTATATATTTTCCGCCCACACAAGTATTTTAGGCAGATTTACATCTTGCCAACTTCCGTATCGTCTAAGAGTTTGTATTTCTTCTGCATACCTTATGTCAATCGAAGATTCACTGCACGCGTTTATAAAGAGAGTGAGAAAAAAATATATTTAATGTACATTTTGTCAAGCATATTTTTTTTTTTGTGCTTTTCAGTGGCTTAAATTCATTGTTAAAAATTACTTTATTTTTCTGAAAATAGGTTTTTCATTTTATCAAGTTTAAATTTAAATGTGTTTTGAACAAAATGGGTAGTCGACGAAATTAAAATTTATTTGAAAGACTTGACGAGATAACAAAATAAGTCCAGATTTACAAATTGTTAGTGAGATGCAAGGGAATTTTAAAAAGTGAATTGGTTCATATAATTTTTCTCCGCTCTGTTAACCACAGGGTAAAGAACCGATAAAGAAGATTAATTTCCGGTTATTGCACTAATCCACAGCTATATTATCCACCGTCAAAAATGCAATAAAATTAAAAAAAAAATTATTTAATTCGTTATTGCTCCAAGCGCCTCATTTACTCGCGATTATTTTTTTTTAATTGCAAGTGGCAATTGTTGTTTATGGAACACAAAATGGAATCAGAGAGAGATTCTCTGAGGCCCAGTATATATCAAGATTAAGAAACAGCTGAGATGAACATAAAGGGAAAATGTTGAGAGAAACTTTTCAGTGCATATGCGTATAGTATTAGATAACTTGATACATTTGAGATAAACATAGAATTAAACAATTGAGAAAATATCTTTTCGAAATGCTATTTACAGTATATTTTCTATTTACATCGACAAACTATCTAATCCATTCTCCCACCCGTTATCCAGCAACGTCTCAGTAAAATTCATCAACAAAATTGATGGACTTTATGAGGCGTCACTGCAGAATTGCAATTGATTGGGCTTAAAATCATCTTTTAGGTTTACCTATTTAGAAACTTCGTTAAAGTTTGCGCATAGCACTTAGAAACTATATCAAACAATTTAACTTCAAGTTTGTTTAGTGATGAAATTCATTTATACTGAAGTCGTTTATGGATATCCTTTCTATGGTATTTATGGCGTCCTCT